TACTGTAATGTTCTGCTCACTGGTCTCTCCAAACGAGCTGTGCTGCAGAACATCCAGAACATCCAGAACATCCACAACATCCAGAACATCCAACATCCAGAACATCACAACATCTAGAACATCTAGAACATCTAGAACATCCAGAACATTCAGAACATCCAGAACATCCAGAACATCCAGAACATCCAGAACATCCAGAACATCCAGAACATCCAGAACATCCAGAACATCCAGAACATCCAGAACATCCAGAACATCCACAACATCCAGAAACATCCAGAACATCCACAAACATCCAGAACATCCAGAACATCCAGAACATCCAGAACATCCAGAACATCCAGAACATCCAAGAACATCCAGAACATCCAGAACATCCAAGAACATCCAGAACATCCAGAACATCCAGAACATCCAGAACGCTGCAGCTCGGGTCCTGACTCGAACTAGGAAGTACGAGCACATAAGTCCTGGTCTCAGGTCTCTGCACTGGCTCCTGTGGCTCAGAGACTTTAAAGCAGCTCTGTTTGTACAAGTGTCTCCATGTCCGAGCACCAAAGTCCATCTGTGACATGTTAGTGTCATATGAACATCTCACACTCTGAGGAGCTCAGGGACCAACTCCTGCTGGTGCCCAGAGTCACGACTAAACAAGGGGAGTCAGAGTTTCAGGTTCATGCAGCTAAAACCTGGAACAGTCTGAACATGTGAGACAGACTCTTCTGTGACGCTGTTTAAATCCAGACTCAAAACATTTCTGTTTAACTGTGCAAATAACTGAAAGGTTTTTCATTCCGCACTCTTCTCTCCAATTTATGTCTCTCTTTTTTAATTTTAATCTTCATGATTATTTATGTTTTGATTTGTTTTTATTATGATTTTAATGTATTTCTTATTCTGTAAAAGCACTTTGAATTACTTTGTGTACGAATTGTGCTGTACAAATAAACTTGTCTTGCCTTATTCTGTGGATCATCGGAGTTTTACATGTGTGCGCTCGTGTTCATGTGACGTATGGAGCCGGTCGGAGCCGTAACGAGCTCGGCGTCGGCTCTTATTCCCCCCGGCGCTCTGCACACGGCTCACTTTCACTTTCACGTTCACCCATCACTCCTCGACCCACTTTAAACCCTCCAGCGCTCGTTTATTTAAACAAACCGCCGTTTCACCGACGCCGCGAAAAGCAAACGCACGAGTCCAGGTGACCTCACTCCGTAACGGACGCGGGGATTAAAGACGCACCACGGAACTTTTCTAACACAGAGCCCGTCGGGTGCCTGTTTCCATGGAGATGTCAGTGCTTCACCTGCAGTGTTCCAAAGTATGACATTAAACTGATCAGTCGCCATAGAGACGAGAGTTAAGTGTTTACATGGACTTTTTCATTTTTAATCAAAATGAAGTTATTTTTGTTCAGAATTAAAAGTCTCGTGTAAAAGTGAAAAATGTCTTTAATGATTATTTAGAATTAAACTTAATTTCAAAGTAAGTTACAACTCACCCTTATGTAACAGATAATACTCCCTACAACTGTACAACAAGATAATACTCCCTACAACTGTACAACAGATAATACTCCTACAACTGTACAACAAGATAATACTCCCTACAACTGTACAACAAGATAATACTCCCTACAACTGTACAACAGATAATACTCCCTACAACTGTACAACAAGATAATACTCCCTACAACTGTACAACAAGATAATACTCCCTACAACTGTACAACAAGATAATACTCCCTACAACTGTACAACAACAGATAATACTCCCTACAACTGTACAACAAAAGATAATACTCCCTACAACTGTACAACAAGATAATACTCCCTACAACTGTACAACAAGATAATACTCCCTACAACTGTACAACAGATAATACTCCCTAAACTGTACAACAAAGATAATACTCCCTCCAACTGTACAACAACAGATAATACTCCTACAACTGTACAACACAAGATAATACTCCCTACAACTGTACAACAACAGATAATACTCCCTACAACTGTACAACAAATAATACTCCTACAACTGTACAACACATAATACTCCCTACAACTGTACAACAAGATAATACTCCCTACAACTGTACAACAAGATAATACTCCCTACAACTGTACAACAAAAGATAATACTCCCTACAACTGTACAACAACAGATAATACTCCCTACAACTGTAAAATGTAAAGATAATACTCCCTACAACTGTACAACAACACATAATACTCCCTACAACTGTACAACAAGATAATACTCCCTACAACTGTACAACAACAGATAATACTCCCTACAACTGTACAACAACTACAACAGATAATACTCCCTACAACTGTTTAAAACAACAGATAATACTCCCTACAACTGTACAACAACACATAATACTCCCTACAACTGTACATCAAAAGATAATACTCCCTACTGTATACTACTCCTACAACTGTACAACAACACATAATACTCCCTACAACTGTACAACAATAATACTCCTCAACTGTACAACACATAATACCCCCTACAACTGTAAAATGTGACAGATAATACTCCCTACAACTGTAAAATGTGACAGATAATACTCCCTACAACTGTACAACAGATAATACTCCCTACAAGTGTACATCAGATAATACTCCCTACAACTGTATTATATGTATATTTCAATAACATGAAAAATAAATAAATAAGAAAACACAGATTCGATTTTTTTGTGTGCTTTTTACAATTTTTTTGTTGTCAAAATAGGGAGTATTATCTGTTACATAAGCCTGAGTTGTTGTACAGTTGTAGGGAGTATTATGTAACAGACGTAATGTAACAGATAATACTCCCTACAACTGTAGAACAACTCACATGAAAAAAATGCTCTCTATTTTGACAATAAATAAATAAATAAATAAAAAATAAATAAAAGTAAAAAAGCAGGGGGAAAAAATCCAGTTAGTTTTTTTTTTTTTTTTTTCCATGTTATAGAAAAAAATAAAATAAAATATAGCTACAACAAATTTAAGGTTTATCAGTTTATATTTTGTAGGAGTTGAAGATTTTTTTTTCTTTTTTTTAGTTTCAAAATGTGAAAGTAAAAAAAATAAAAAAATCCTCCACACACCCTCTAACAGCAGCTGTGTGTGTTTGCCGTGTGTGTGTGTTTGCCGTGTGTGTTTGCCTGTGTGTGTGTGTTTGCCGTGTGTGTGTTTGCCGTGTGTGTGTTTGCCGTGTGTGCGTCTGCAGTTGTGCGTGCGGCGCGGTGTATTCCTGCGGGGACTTTTTTGCGTTATTGATCGCAGCGGGGCAGGTCCGGGATGGTGCTGACGCGAGCAGACGACACGTTCGCAGATGGAGCATTGTTATGGACGAGAGATTGAAAACAACACACACACACACACGGGCGGGCGGGCGGGCGGCTCACACGCTCAGGCTTTTAGCGGCTGACCTGGCTCACCCCTTTTAGCCCCTCGCCGCGCCCCCGCCCCCCCACTCGCCGCCGCCGCTTTACTTATGCCCCCCGCTGATTGATGCGCTCCAAGACGGACGATCGATATTCGAACTTCCGCCGGTTTTTTGTTTTGAGAAGCTTTTTGTGCGTCTCCGGATCGTTTGTTATCTGTCACGGGGGGGAAAGTGTCAGCGGCGCGAGCGTGTGTCCGCTTACAGGAATCATACGAAAATATGTGTGTGTTTGTGTGTGTGTGTGTGTGTGTGTGTATATATGTGTGTGTGTGTGTGTGTAAAGTCTGTTCAGGACCTTTAATAACCCGTAATGAGTTAAAGCCGTGGAATTTTCTGAGTCGTTTGTTTGGTTTGTTGTACAGTTGTAGGGAGTATTATCTGTGACATAAGGGTGAGTAATACAGTTGTAGGGAGTATTATATGCTGGACTCATGTATATTGTGTGTATTCTGTGTGTTACCTCTGTATAGGCTGCTGTACAGTTGTAGGGAGTATTATCTGTCACATGAGGCTGAGTTGCTGTACAGTTGTAGGGAGTATTATATGTCGGAGTCATGTATATTGCGGGTATTGTGTTATCTCTATATATGTTGTTGTACAGTTGTAGGGAGTATTATATGGTGTAGTCGCGTGTATTTTGTGGTGTCTCTGTATAAGTTGTTGTAGGGAGTATTATCTGTTGTTGTACAGTTGTAGGGAGCATTATCAATTGTAGTCGTGTGTATTGTGTGTGTTCTCTAGGTATACGTTGTTGTACAGTTGTAGGGAGTATTATCTGTTTTTACAGTTGTAGGGAGTATTATCTGTCACATGTTGTACAGTTGTAGGGAGTTATTATCTGTTGTTATACAGTTGTAGGGAGTATTATCTGTTGTATACAGTTGTAGGAGTATTATCTGTTGTTTATACAGTTGTAGGGAGTATTATCTGTTGTTATACAGTTGTAGGGAGTATTATCTGTTGTTATACAGTTGTAGGGAGTATTATCAGTTGTAGTTGTATACATTACGTGTATTGTGCGTGTTCTCTCTGTATACGTTGTTGTACAGTTGTAGGGAGTATTATATGTTGTAGTCATCTATATTGTGTGTATTCTGTCTGTTATCTCTGTATAAGTTGTTGTAGGGAGTATTATCTGTCACATTTTACAGTTGTAGGGAGTATTATCTGTTGTTGTACAGTTGTAGGAGAGAAAAAAAAAAGATGTAATTCCTGTTCCGTTGTGTTCGTCAAATCAACAGTTACGAGTTTTTGGTTATTGGTTTTAGTTTTTGGTTAACAGTTATGATTTTTTTGTTTTTGTTTTTATGATTATTATTATTTTTATGAATATGTAACATCAAATACACGAGACACAAGTTTGGCAAAAACAAAAATAGAAAATGTTCTAAAAACCACTGACAGGGTGAAGTAGAGAAGAACGTCTTCTGGTCAGCGTGAAAAGAACCTTTTTCAAGAGCCGCGATGTCGGGGAAACGTCACTTCGGGTTAATGTTTTTCTGTGTCAAAATGTGTGTAAATGTGTGTGTAAATGTGTGAAAGGGTCAAACCTTTGTCCTTGGTGATTTTCTTGATGGGGACAGTGGGGTTGGGCAGAGGGACGTCTGTGTCCGTGGAGCCCAAACCTGAGAAAAGAAAAGAAAAACACAAATAAAACAGCTGAGAGTAAAAACAAAAAGGCCATGAAAAAACAAACTATGAACTGATGAGTTAAAGAGGGGCTATTTTACTTCTATAACATGAAAAATAAAATAAATAAACTCAAATTGGATTTTTTTTTTTTTTTTTTTTTTTTGCTTTTTAAAATTTGTTTTATTGTTTTATTATATATAATTATTTTGATTAAATTTACTGTCACTTCAACTGACATAGACTTTTTATTACTAAATAAATTTTGCATTACAGTAATTTAACAATATACTCATTAAAAACACCTTCAAAGGCAATCTTCTGTTTTTGTACAGTTGTAGGGAGTATTATCTGAAGGGAGTATTATATGAGACATAAGGGCGAGTTGTTGTACAGTGGTAGGGAGTATTATTTATTGTTCAACATTTGTAGGGAGTATTATCTGTGACATAAAGGTGAGTGGTTGTACAGTTGTAGGGAGTATTATCTGTTGTTGTGAAACTGTAGGGAGTATTATCTGTTACATAAAAATTAGTTATTGTACAGTTGTAGGGAGTATTATATGTTGTTTTACAATTGTAGGGAGTATTATCTATTGTTGTCCAGTTGTAGGGAATATTATATGTTGTTTTACAATTGTAGGGAGTATTATCTATTGTTGTACAGTTGTAGGGAGTATTATATATTGTTGTACAGTTGTAGGGAGTATTATCTATTGTTGTACAGTTGTAGGGAGTATTATCTATTGTTGTACAGTTGTAGGGAGTATTATATGTTGTTGTACAGTTGTAGGAGTATTATTGTTGTTGTACAGTTGTAGGGAGTATTATCTATTGTTGTACAGTTGTAGGGAGTATTATATGTTGTTGTTCAGTTGTAGGGAGTATTATCAACTGTAGTTGTGTATATTGTGTGTGTTCGCTTTGTATAAGTTGCTGTACAGTTGTAGGTAGTATTATTTGTTCTTGTACAGTTGTAGGGAGTATTATCTGTCACATTAGGCTGAGTTGTATGTTGTGTGTGTGTGTGTGTGTGTTGTGTGTGTGTGTGTGTGTGTGTGTGTGTTGTGTGTGTTGTGTGTGTTGTGTGTGTTGTGTGTGTTGTGTGTGCGTGTGTGTGTGTGTGTGTGTGTGTTTGTGTGTGTGTGTGTGTTTGTGTGTTTGTGTTGTGTGTGTGTGTGTGTGTGTGTGTGTGTATGTGTTGTGTGTGTGTGTGTGTTGTGTGTGTGTGTGTGTGTGTGTGTGTGTGTGTGTGTGTGTGTGTGTGTGTGTGTGTGTGTGTGTGTGTGTTGTGTGTGTTTGTGTGTGTTGTGTGTTTCTGTGTGTGTGTGTGTGTGTGTGTGTGTGTGTGTGTGTGTGTGTGTGTGTGTGTGTTGTGTGTGTGTGTGTGTGTGTGTGTGTGTGTGTGTGTGTGTGTGTGTGTGTGTTGTGTGTGTGTGTGTTGTGTGTGTGTGTGTGTGTGTGTGTGTGTGTGTGTGTGTGTGTGTGTGTGTGTGTGTGTGTGTGTGTGTGTGTTTGTTGTGTGTGTTGTGTGTGTTGTGTGTGTGTGTGTGTGTGTGTGTGTGTGTGTGTGTGTGTGTGTGTGTGTGTGTGTGTGTGTGTGTGTGTGTGTGTGTGTTTGTGTGTGTTGTGTGTGTGTGTGTGTGTGTGTGTGTGTGTGTGTGTGTGTGTATTGTGTTTGTGTGTGTGTGTGTGTTGTGTGTGTTGTGTGTGTGTGTGTGTGTGTGTGTGTGTGTGTTGTGTGTTTGTGTGTGTTTGTGTGTGTGTGTGTGTGTGTGTGTGTGTGTGTGTGTGTGTGTGTGTGTGTGTGTGTGTGTGTGTGTGTGTGTGTGTGTGTGTGTGTGTGTGTGTGTGTGTGTGTGTGTGTGTGTGTGTGTGTGTGTGTGTGTGTGTGTGTGTGTGTGTGTGTTGTGTGTGTGTATGTGCGTGTGTGTGTGTGCGTTTGTCCTATTTGGAGCGGTGACCCGTGCGCTGGAGCATTACTCACGCCTCTCACCTTTACCTGTCCTGAGACTAATGAGGCCGGAGCTTCCCGCCGAGATCGTGACCCACATGGAGAACGACCCCCCCCCCCCCCCCCCCCCCCCCCCCCCCCGCGCGTCGTCGTTATCGTTTTCCCGCTCGACTCCGCAGATGTACGACGCCCCGGTTACGCAACGACACCAATGTGGGACGTTTCCGTAGCGATTAACATTTAAAAAACAAAATGATCCTGTCATTTTGAACGCAGAGAATCTTAAAGAAAAACCCTCTACACTCTGTACTCCACACTACATACAACTGTAGGGAGTATTATCTGTTAATGGACAGTTGTAGGGAGTATTATCTGTTAATGTACAGTTGTAGGGAGTATTAACTTTTGTTGTACAGTTGTAGGGAGTATTAACTGTTGTCATAGGGGAGTATTATCTGTCACAAAAGGGTGAGATGTTGTACACTTGTAAGGAGTATTATCTGTTTTTACACAGTTGTAGGGAATATTATCTGTTGTGAAGTTGTAGGGAGTATTATCCGTGACATAAGCATGAGTTGTTCTACAGTTGTAGGGAATATTATCTGTTTTTACACAGTTGTAGGGAGTATTATCTGTTGTTACACGGTTGTAGGGAGTATTATCTGTTTTTACACAGTTGTTGGGAGTATTATCTTGTTGTTACACGGTTGTAGGGAGTATTATGTGTCACATAAGGACAAGTTGTACAGTTGTAGGGAGTATTATCTGTGACATAAGCATGAGTTGTTGTACAGTTGTAGGGAGTATTATATGTTGTTGTACAATTGTGGGGAGTATTATTTATTTTTACACAGTTGTAGGGAGTATTATCTCTTGTTGCAGTTGTAGGGAGTATTATCTGTTGTTGTGTTGTAGGGAGTATTATCTGTTGTTACACAGTTGTAGGGAGTATTATCTGTGACATAAGGGTGAGCTGTTGCACAGTTGTAGGGAGTATTATCTGTGACATAAGGGTGAGCTGTTGCACAGTTGTAGGGAGTATTATCTGTTGTTGTGAAGTTGTAGGGAGTATTAACTGCTGTTGTACAGTTGTAGGGAGTATTATCTGTGACATAAGGGTGAGCTGTTGCACAGTTGTAGGGAGTATTATCTGTGACATAAGGGTGAGCTGTTGCACAGTTGTAGGGAGTATTATCTGTGACATAAGGGTGAGCTGTTGCACAGTTGTAGGGAGTATTATCTGTGACATAAGGGTGAGCTGTTGCACAGTTGTAGGGAGTATTACATGGATACGTTTTAAATTATAGCAGAAATATTGACGTGTCTTTTTATAATTCAAGACAGTATTATATTTTTTACTCCTATTTTGTAACTGTTATAACATTTATTATTTTACTTTCATTTAAAGAGTTTTTGTTATAATGTATTAACACGAGCTAAGTCACTCCCCCTTCAGAGCGCACACATCAGGTTTGTCCAGTTGCTGTGTTCAGTGTTTTTGTGTTTTTATGTTGAGTTGTCGCGTTGGAGCCTGGGGGGGACGTGGGCTTGTGGGCGGAGCCTCGTACAGAACCTCGTGCAGGGTTTGAACAGGGCCCGGGAGAGATCGCTAGATGACTCAAACACTTGGACTGAGAGTTTAGTGGTTTTACCGAGTCTTTCCGGGGAGCTGGAGGCGGAGCTGCTGGGCTGAGACTCAAGAGGAGTGTTTTCATCCCCCGACGGAGACAGAGACGGACTGTCACACACCCGCTCCTGAAACAACACCAGACCCATCAAAGACCTGGTCCGGTTCTGGTCTAGTCCTGGTTCAGTCCTGGTTCAGTCCTGGTTCAGTTCTAATTCAGTCTTGGTTCCTGGTCCTGCTCTAGTCCTGGTTTTGACCTCATTTAGACCTGGTTGAGTGGTGGTTGAGTCCTGGTTTAGTTCTCTTGTAGTCCTGGTTTAGTCTTGGTCTAGTTCTGGTCTGGTCCTGGTCTAGTCCTGGTCTACTCCTGGTTTAGTCCTGGTCTAGTCCTCGTTTAGTCCTGGTTTTGACCTAATTTAGACCTGGCTGAGTCGTGGTTGAGTCCTGGTCTACTCCTGGTTTAGTCCTGGTTTAGTCTTGGTCTAGTCCTGGTCTAATCCTGGTCTACTCCTGGTCTAGTCCTGGCCTATACCTAGTCTAGTCCTGGTCTAGTCCTGGTTTAGTTCTGGTTTTGACCTAATTTAGACCTGTTGACTAGTGGTTTTGTCATGGTTTAGTTCTATTTCAGTCCTGGTTTAGTTCTGTTTTAGTCCTGGTTTAGTCTTGGTCAAGTTCTGGTCTAATCCTGGTCTAGTCCTGGTCTACTCCTCCTTTAGTCCTGGTTTTAACCAAATTTAGACCTGGCTCAGTAATGGTTGAGTCCTGGTCTACTCCTGATTTTAATCCTGGTCTAGTACTGGCCCAGTTCAGGTCTTGTCCTAGTTTAGTCCTGATCAAGTCCTGGTCTAGTCCTGGTTTAGTTCTATTTCAGTCCTGGTTTGGTCTTGGTTAGGTCCTGGCCTGGTCCTGATTTTAATCCTGGTTTAATCCCGGTTTAGTCCTGGTCAAAGTTCTGGTCTAGAACTGGCTCAGTCCTGGTCCAGTTTTGGTCCACTCCTGATTTTGTCCTAATTAGGCCTGGTTTAGTCCTGGTTCAGTTCTGGTTTAGTTCCATTTCAGTCTTGGTTTGGTCCTGCTCTAGTCCTGGTTTTGACCTAATTTAGACCTGGTTGAGTGGTGGTTGAGTCCTGGTTTAGTTCTGTTTTAGTCCTGGTTTAGTCTTAGTCAAGTTCTGGTCTAATCCTGGTCTAGTCCTGGTCTACTCCTCCTTTAGTCCTGGTTTTAACCAAATTTAGTCCTGGCTGAGTCGTGGTTGAGTCCTGGTCTACTCCTGGTTTAGTCCTGGTTTAGTCTTGGTCTAGTCCTGGTCTATTCCTGGTTTAGTCCCGGTTTAGTCTTGGTCTACTCCTGGTTTAGTCCTGGTTTAGTCTTGGTCTACTCCTGGTTTAATCCTGATTTAGTTCTGGTTTTGACCTAATTTTGGCCTGCTGAGTTGTGGTTTTGTCAGTTCAGTTTTTCTTAATTCTATTTCAGTCCTGGTTTAGTTCTGTTTTAGTCCTGGATTAATCTTGGTTTGGTCCTGGCTTGGTCCTGATTTTTACCCTGGTTTAGTCCTGCTCCACAGTCCTGATTTAGGTCTGGTTTAGTCCTGCTCAAATCCTGGTCAAGTTCTGGTCTAGTACTGGCTCAGTCCTGGTCCAGTTTTGGTTTTTAGTCCAGTCTGGTCCAGTCCTTGGTCCAGTTTTGGTTCAGTCTTAGTAAAGTCCTGGTCCAGTCTTGGTCCAGTCTTAGTCCAGTCTTGGTCCAGTTTTGGTTTAGTCCTGGTCCAGTCTTAGTCCAGTCTTGGTCCAGTTTTGGTTTAGTCCTGGTCCAGTCTTGGTCCAGTCTTAGTCCAGTCTTGGTCCAGTTTTGGTTCAGTCTTGGTCCAGTTTTGGGTCTAGTCCTGGTCAGGTCCTGATCCAGTCTCGGTCCAGTTTTGGTTTAATTCTGGTCCAGTCCTGGTTAGTCTTGGTCTAGTCCTGGTTTCAGGTCTGATTTGTCCCTTGTCTGGTCCTGGTTTAGTTCTGGTTAAGTCCAGATCATAAAACACATACTTAATTTCTTTTTTAATTGAGCAAATAAAAGACATAAGAATAAACAAAATGAAAACTTTACTTTACTTTTTTTTTTTTCTTAACTATAATAACATAGAGTAAATTCTGTGGTCGTTCCTCAGGGCTCAGTTTTGTCCCTCGTGTTCTTCTCTCGTCACATTTGGACGTTTGGACGTTTGGACGTTTGGTCGTTTGGACGGTCGGCGTTCGGACGGTCGGCGTTCTCTCACCTTGATGACGGGCTCGCGGTGGACGTGCGTGTGGATCTGCTGTGCGGCGGCGGCCATGTTGGCGAAGGTGCTGAGGTGGTTCATCTGAGACATCGCCATGGCAACGGACGCCGGCGGCAAACCCATCGGCAACAGCGGGTGAGGCATCATCATGAACGGCAGCTCCAGCCCTGAGGAGAACCAGAACCAGAACCAGAACGTCAAAAAAACACCAAAACTAGAATATGCACAGGGACCGGGTTTAGACCGGGTTTAGACCTGGTTTAGACCTGGTTTGGATCTAGTTTAGACCTGGTTTAGACCTGGTTTAGACCTGGTTTGGATCTAGTTTAGACCTGGTTTAGATCTACTTTAGATCTAGTTTAGACCTGGTTAGGATCTAGTTTAGACCTGATTTAGACCTGGTTTAGACCTGGTTTAGACCGGGTTTAGACCTGGTTTAGACCTGGTTTAGACCTGGTTTAGGGTTTAGACCGGGTTTAGACCTGGTTTAGACCTGGTTTAGACCTGGTTTAGACCTGGTTTAGACCGGGTTTAGACCTGGTTTAGACCTGGTTTAGATCTAGTTTAGATCTAGTTTAGACCTGGTTTAGACCTGGTTTGGTTTAGACCTGGTTTAGACCTGGTTTAGACCTGGTTGGTTTAGACCTGGTTTAGACCTGGTTTAGACCGGTTTAGACCTGGTTTAGACCTGGTTTTAGACCTGTTTAGTTTTAGACCTGGTTTTAGACTGGTTTGGTTTAGACCTAGGGTTTAGACCTGGTTTAGACCTGGTTTAGACCGGGTTTAGACCGGGTTTAGACCTGGTTTAGACCGGGTTTAGACCTGGTTTAGACCTGGTTTAGACCGGGTTTAGACCTGGTTTAGACCTGGTTTAGACCTGGTTTAGACCGGGTCTTTGTTGCGTCCGTTGGTCCAGGACCAGTTCTGGACTAAATGACGTGTAAATTCAGTCCAGTGTTTGATTCACTGTGACGTGAATCTGTAGTTTGAACATTTGAACCACAGTGAGTTTTTTGGTCGTCATGGGGACGTCTCACACAGGGGCAGGAAAACTACATTAAACAACATCATACTTTTTAAAATTCTGACAAATCTCAACATTATTATGAATATTCTTCATGAATCTTAACCTCCTGAGCCTGAACTCAATTTATTCATTTCTCTTTGTTATTTGGGCTGATTAAACCTGATGAAGATAATAACATATGTATATATGTTTTTATATTTCTATATTTATATGTCCACATATGATTTATAAAACATTCATTTTATGTTTTAATCATTTTGATGGAACATAATAGAGTCACAATTGAATAATGATTTGGATAAAATATAACCGTAAAAACTATGAAAGACCTGAACATCCCAAAGTGCGTTGGACATATTTGTCCTCATGTGTGGACACCAGGTCCAGGAGGACACTTTTCATGATCTGTGATTAAACATTTATGACTAATTATTT